AACAAACTTAAACAATTTTCTAGTACTGTTATTTTATCTTTTTCAATGTTGAGATTTTGAAAAAAAACAGCATTTTTACCTTTTGGTTGTAGACAAGTTGTTCGAATGGGTAAGATAATCATATCTAACCTCTCAAATTACAACGTTCTCACTTTTTTAAAATATGTGATGATATTGTTTTAACTTTTGTTATTTTATGGTTGTCTGTTTTTTAAAGACAAACTTTGAAACAACACGCATTTTAAATGGTTTTGTTTATTTCAACGACTATTTCTTTGTGTTGTGAGTGTTAATGAAATTGAGAGTTTTTTTAATTTTCCAACATCAACATTTACTTTTGAAAAAAAGTCGGTTTTACTCACACCAAAAACAAACATATGGTTAAGCAAAATTTTTGAAGTAGTAAGTTATTTAATATTTTTATTGTTAAAAATTATTTCAATTTATTAGATTGGTCTAAATTCAATGTTTAGACAAGTTCTTTTTTTTGAAAAAAAAACAATCAGAAAAACAATGTCAAACAAAATTAATTGTATTTGGAATCATTTACTTCAAAAATAGGGCCATTTTGGTACCTCCTTTTGAAAAACTGTTTATAAAGTTCAAAGTTACCAAATTGTCGTTGTAACTTCAATTCAATGTACCCCGACTGTCGAAATAAACTAAACAATTTAGACTTGAAATTGGATTCCAAAAGGTGGAGAATTCCCAATCACATTGAAATGGAAGAACATTGATGTTATAAACAGTGACACAACTCCGTTGAATTCAACAACTTTATCTGCAGATGGAAACAATTTCATTGTTGGGAATAAAAATATCTAAAATAACATCGACACAAACAAAAGTAACAACAACATCATTTGGTCATGTTAACTCTGCATATGTCGAAATTAGTTGTGTTGATAATGTTATAAACGCATTCATTGAAGTTGCATATCCCCTTTTAATGTCGACTAATTTGATTACTTTATTAAACTCGATTGATTGTAATTGATGTTTTTCATTCTGAAGAAATGAAGAAATGGTGAAATGTAAAATTAAAGTTTAAAATAACAATTTCAAAACATTTGTGATTGATCACAACGTTAATGCATCACTTAAAATGAGTATTTTTGATAATTTCTTTAAGTAAAACCACTCGATTACAAAGAAAGAGTCTGATATCATCAACCAATCTAATAACAATCAATACAGTGTATGGATTATCAATTGAATCTTTGACAATTTCCATTTACAACCATCAGTAAAATTGCTGATATTAAAAAAGCATTAGAAAGAACTAAAATTTGTTGGGTTAACTGTTGAATCCAAATTTGGAGCACTCAAATTGACAAATTTGAATCAAACTACAACGGATATAATTGGTGCATCTAAATATTATAATGACTATGCAGATAATTATTTGTGTTTGAATCAACTATTTTTCGACTGCAAACAACAACCAATAATCACAAATAATAATAATAATGATATTTTTACATTCAATAGCCATCATAGAAGTCTTTCGGTTATCATTCAAAATACAAAACAATTACATTGGATGTTAAACTTGAAACTATGGTTATTAAAAACTCCATGTCGTTAACAACAACTGATTTTGAATTTTTCTCATTATCAAAACATGTATCAAAGCGAACTATATTTTAATAAAGTTGCAAATGTAACAGAATGAATATTGTCGATAGAAGTTTTTTCTGTCCTAACTTTAAATTGATTGGGGGAAAACTCGCCCCTTTACAAACTCGCCCCCCGAGAATTCACCCCTGTAATTTCACAAAAGTTCAACACAAGTTCAACAAAATTTCAACAATAAATTTTTGTATACAATAAATAAAATATTTATATTTACTATATTTTATATTAATAAAATATAATAATTATTTATTATAAATATATACATGTGATGCTTTTAAGATTATTTATTCAAAAAAAACAACAAATGATTATTTTGTTCATGTTTTATATTATATAATATTATTATAAAAAACATTTTTATATTAAATGACATTAAACATCAATTATATTTCGTTTTTATCGTTAATTAAATATGATTAAATATTATTATAATATAAAACCATTATAAATAGTAAAACCTAGTAATTTTTATGGGGGTTAAAATACAAAAACCATTTATTTAAAAAAATGGAATTCCATGAGAATCCATAATCAAATTTTCCTTCTCCTCCACATTTTGTTATATTACAATCTGAAAGAGGCGAAGAAATGCCTTATGTTGACGGTAATAAATTTTCTCCAAAAGATCGCGCTACCGGGTCTTTTCGTTGTAGAGTATGTGGAAAATAATTTGGTGTCATCGAGATGAATATGGTCATTTAGACAATTTTGAATTTCGTGGTAAAAAAGAACACAGACATGAAACTTCTGATTATTTTGATGATTACTACACATGTTTGCTTAGAGATTCTTCAAAAAGCAATTCCTCGACATATAAAACAACTTCAAAAATAGTCGCTGAAAATTATGTTTTGGGTTCGACCAAACGATTTTCAATGGGAGAAAGGTTTGTGAAATTAAATAAACAAATTGCTCCGAACCCAACATCAACCGATCAAATTGTTTTTACAGATGAAGAAAAAGAATTGATATTATATAGTGATAAAGAAATGGTTAATTTGGGGAAAAATTATTTTTCTTTTATTTGCCAATCAACAATACTTTTTATTGATGGCACTTTCAAAACATGTCCAAGTTTGTTATTTAATTGCGTCTAAAAAATAATTCAAATGATATTACATTTTATTCAACAATTAACTTTTATTATTATTTATAATATTAATATTAATTTTTATCACAATAAATTGAATAATTCAAACATAAAACATAAAATAATATATATCGTAAAAATAAAATATATGTTATTTTCAATTTATTAAATAATATTGTATTATGTACAAATTGTTGTATATTGTATATTGTATATTATAAAATATGATAATAATATATTATATCATTATTGTGATTAAAATAAAATTATAAAATATATATTATATATTATTTGAGAATTTCAATTTTACATTTAAAACTTTTTTCTCAACTTTATACTATTCACGGTCTTCAAAACGGTCAAAGTTTTTTGGTTTTTTATTGTTGTATGAAATCCAAATCACTTGAAAGTTATGATGTTTTATTTAAAAAAATCGAAGAGCTGTGTGAAACACCAATTTTTCATTAAAATAAAATTGTAATTGGGGATTTCGAACTGGTTTATTTTGGAAGACTTTTTGAAAAAGATACAATAAAAAATTGTCATTTTGATTACTGTCAATCGTTGTTTCGAAGGGTTTCATATCTTGGTCTTAAAAAAGTATGTTGATGGAGACCAACTTAAATTTGTAGTAAAAATGTTAATGTGTCTTCCTTATCTTCCAGAAGATAGAATTACTTCCGCATTTGATGAAATTGTAAAAGATAACAACGATGAAGATATAAACAAAGTGTTGATTTATTTCAAAAACAATTATTTAATCGGGGCTTTTAAAAAACGGTTTTGGTGTGTCTATGGATTAACAGAAAGGACATCAAATCGTGCAGAAAGCTTGCATTCTGCTTTGAACAGATTAAGTGGGTTAACACATCCAAATGTTCACGTTTTTATAGAAAAACTCAAAAAATATCTAAAAATATTGGACGTCAAATTTTTTCAATACAACACACAGTTAATTAAACGACGACAAAACAAAAAAACCACTGAGAAAAATATGTCAATTAACGAAAAACAAAAAGAGTTATTTAGTGAAATTCCTTTGACATCGAAACAATTTTTGATAGATTGTATAATCATTTTAAATAGAAAGGAAAATAGAACCGTTTTTGAATCTGATGCCAAGTCAAGTGCGCTTGGGGTCGATAATGAAAATAAAATTATCGAAATATTAAAACAAGAAGATAATTGTACAAATATTGGTGAAACACAAGAAAAAACAAATCAGAAATTACAACCAACTGAACAACATATAGATACATAGTTTGTTAAATTTACATTATAACAAAATGGAATTTAAATTAATAATTTAATTTTAACACAGAGAAGATAATTTATTTGACACAATTGTAAATGACAAAGAAATTCAAATTGAGAAACGAAGTTGGCAATCAACCGAGTGTTTTCTAGAAGATGTCGAATTATCAATGCAAAATAACAATTATAAAGCACCTAAATTAAGAAGAAGAAAAAGTATTGCAAAAGAAACCAAAAAATTGATGAAAATAATGTTGGCTCAGAGAAATAATAAAAAGAAAAGAAACAAACTTAACTAAATCATTTATTTATTTAACAAATCTATATCAGTATTTATTTATTTTTATTATAACATAATATTTTATTAATTCATTAATATTGATATTATTATAATAATATTTAATCATATTTAATTAACGATAAAAACGAAATATAATTGATGTTTAATGTCATTTAATATAAAAATGTTTTTTATAATAATATTATATAATATAAAACATGAACAAAATAATCATTTGTTGTTTTTTTTGAATAAATAATCTTAAAAGCATCACATGTATATATTTATAATAAATAATTATTATATTTTATTAATATAAAATATAGTAAATATAAATATTTTATTTATTGTATACAAAAATTTATTGTTGAAATTTTGTTGAACTTGTGTTGAACTTTTGTGAAATTACAGGGGTGAATTCTCGGGGGGCGAGTTTTCCTTTTCCCCTTTAAATTTGCTGTTGAATTTATTACAAATACATTAAATTCTCATATTTGGCTTGATATAAGGAACCTTCTGATGTCAATTTCATTTATCATAAGACTATAAATAAGACAATTTCACTTAAATCATTTGACCGTTTAAGTTGAAAAATAAGAAATAAAAGAATAAAAATACTGACAGTAAAAGTAAAAAAAATGTTGTGTTACTATTTTTAATACATTTTTCTGTTGTTTTTATCTATTTTTATTATTATTAGTTTTTTATCAACTTAATTTAAGAAATAAAATGGTATTACTAAATGTGATTAAATATAGTTCCAAGCTCATATTTAACGTTTTCTAAAGAACTTCTTTTTGTAGGTTCATTATCCCAACAACCATTAATAATATCATATATGTTTTGATTCATCTCATCTGGCTTTGGTAATCGTGACCCCTTTATTACAAACTCTGCAATTGACCAAGGAAATTTGAATTTATCTTTAGAATATGCATAACTCCATGTAATACACTCGAACATGGTTATAGCCAAAGAGTATACGTCAGCACTCTTTTTATATTTTTCTCGTTTTAACACTTCGGGCGCCATGTAGACTGGTGTACCAATTCCCTTTGTGAATGTCATGTTAGTCATCATCATATTGACATTTCTTGCACTTCCAAAATCAGTCAGTTTAGCATTTACACTGTTGTTTAAATCAATTGAAACAACAAGTATGTTGTCTGGCTTGATGTCTCTGTGTAATATCCCATTTGTGTGTAAATAAATTATTCCACTTATTGAATCCAACATCAATTTTATTCGAAGTTTCATTTCAATTTCTATGCTAATTTTATGTTTCATTAAATCTTGTAATGAACCAAACAAAGCAAATTCGGTGACCATACACATTTTATTTGGTATAAACACGGCTCCATAGAAATGGATGATATACTCACACCTAAATTTATCTAACATTGCAACTTCTTTTTCAAATTCATCATCTGATTTATCTCCACTATCAGTTTTGCCGTCTTCGGTTTGTTTCATCTTCTTGATGGCTACCTCATTTCCTCTATATTTTCCTTTGTAAACAACACCAAAAGATCCTTCACCCAATTTTGATTCTTCAAGCAACTCGTCATAATCTATTCTTGTAGATTGACTAGTAATTCCTTTCATCACAATTTCGTTAATATTTTCGACGTTTGTTTTGAGATTTTTTGAAACTATGCAAATCGTGTTATTTATTCGACACGTGCATTTGGGTTTCAAATATATTGAAAATTCACATGCAAACTTCTTTTTTAACATGACGACTTCTGGTGTTGCTCTTATCGTAAATTTGTCGATTTGTGTTGTCATGGTGAATTGAATTTTCAAGACGCCTTTGGACATATTGCCAACACAAAACA